GGCCGCCGCGGCCGCGCTCGCCGGCGCCACACCCCGCGACTACATTTCCCAGCAAGCCCCGGGCCGCCCGCGCGCCGCAGTTGACCCATTTCCCGGCCCGTCCCGGGCTCGGCCGGCCCCCGCGCCCAGGCGGCTGCTCCCTGCTGACTGGGGTGTGGGCGGGGAGCGGCGGAGGCAGGAGGAGGCGCTGCTGGCCGCCGCGGTTGCCTCCGCTGCTGGGCGCCTGGGCAGCTCCCGAGGGTTCTGCGGCCGCCATGGACGAGCAGGCGGGTCCCGGCGTCTTCTTCAGCAACAACCACCCGGGCGCCGGCGGTGCCAAGGGTCTCGGGCCTCTGGCGGAGGCTGCCGCGGCCGGCGACGGAGCGGCTGCAGCGGGGGCGGCGCGAGCCCAATACAGCCTCCCTGGGATCCTGCACTTCCTGCAGCATGAGTGGGCCCGCTTCGAGGTTGAGAGAGCCCAGTGGGAGGTGGAGCGGGCGGAGCTGCAGGTAAAGACCCTCCCGGCCTGGCCCTCTTCATCCCGCCTCTTCGCTCCCTTCCGCCCCGCCCAGGACCCTTCCCCCTCCCCCCCCAGCCCCCGCTGGTCCCCTCCCCCTTTGCTCCCGCTCATCCCACCCAGAACCGCGTCCCTTTACCCCCTTCACCTTTGCCTTTCGCTGACCCCACTTCCTTGACCTGGGTTCCCACTCCCGCCCTTGAGGCGTTGTTTACCTTCCCCGCTCCTTTTCGTCTGCTCCTTCCCACTCTTAACTCAGTCTCTTTCCAACTCTTTTGCCGTCCCACATTTTAGGTCGTCCCTTTCAGTTTACTAATTGGGCTGACAGTAGTTTTGAGAGACGTCGAGCAAATCATCCTCTGCCCTAGTGAGTCCCATCCTAGGTCTAGAGATGTTCCCTGCGAAAGGTATTGGTAGTTGGCTCCTCTCTCTGAAAGGAAGGTGGTTAAAGACAGCAGAAGTTGTGTCTGAGGGGCCTTGACTTTAGGCGAGAAGCAGATGTTGGGCGAAAGTATTATTAGGAGTATCAGCTTCTTTTTAGATACGTGTAAATGTTTTTTTTTCCTCTTTCCTCTTCCTTACCCCCTCCCGCGTTTCTTTTAGGTATTTCAGATTCATGGATTTTGAATGAAGGACGTAGATGATACACAGGTGATGGTTCAGAGATGGTTTCCTGTTCTCAGAATCTGAAACTTTCCAAGGGTTAATTTTATGTCCAGTGTTTTGTGAGATTGACTTGTACTTTGAAAGGAACTAAAAGGGACTTTAAAGTTGGTTACATTTCCTTGCATAATCTGCAAGATAAAGTATATCCAGGAAGGAGCTGCTGTGGGCTCTTAGAAGAAAGTGAGGCTGATCCTTTACTGGCCATTCTGAATTGCTAAGTAGGTTTCAGTGGCTGTTCTTAAAACTTCCAAGGCACATAGCAACTTCGCAAGGAACTTAAAGAACTGAGTGGCTGTGCCTTTCTGTTTTACTGGCTAATCCTGTATGCTCATGAAATCTGAGTATAGTTTTGGTTGGTGAAACACTTGAAGTTAAAATGCTATCCAGTGTGTCACTTTTTTTGGTAACATGTATTTTCTTTGGCACTTAAAAAAAGAAAAGGAGAAATCTGTTAAATAGAATCATGTGCTGGAACAGGGCGGTTTGGCATAGTGGAAGTGGCTGGGCAAAGAGGGAGTAGACAGCCTTACAGTACCGGCTGTGCTTGCTTCTAGCTCTGACCTTGAGGAAATCCTTTCGCCTCTCCGAACTTCAGTTTCATCTTTTATTTATCCAGTACGTTTATTGAGTGCCAGCTGTGTGCCTCTAGGCCCTGGGATTAACAAAACGGACAGCATCTCTGCCCTCGTACAGCTTACATTTTAGTTGGCAGTCAGCAAATGCAAGTATATAATATTCTGGACCATAGTGGCAACTTGGATGAGAAAAATAGGTACAGGGATAGAGTGTGAGAGGGGCAGCTATTTTATTTTAGATGTGGTGTTTGAGGAAGGCCTCTGGGAGGAGTTGAATGGAGCGAGGCATGACCTATAGTTATTAAAATTTTTTCTCGTTATTTCTACAGTTGTATGTTTATATTCTTTGGCAGCCTTTTTTATTCCTTTTATGTACTTCAGTATCTAGTCTGTGGATATTTGTAATTTTTCTCAAAATAAATCTGACCATGTCTGTATAAATAACAAGCAGACTTAAATGCTTCATTCAAATTTATTAGTAATTCACTTTATTAGCACTGCATTCTATAAATGAGCTTGTGGATTTCAGACTTCAAGGAAGTGTGAAAGACAGGCTTTAACTTTAACGTTGTTCAGGTGTGGAGAGTGATTTTTGCATGTGACTGCTTAAATTTTAATTTCCAGCTCAGGGAAGGCGAGTCACACTAATTTGGTCAAAAAACAAGATAATAATTCTTCCCTTCTTACTTCTGGAGGTTTGGGAACTTCCAGTTCATCTCACCCCTTGTCGGGTCTCCCAGCGCTCCCCCTCCACTCCTCCGTTTCAACTTTTCAGTTTACCTGTAATTAATTGTAGTCACTCTTCAGTTTTACATACACACATGGATGCACGGGCGCTACTTCCCAGGTTATTTATGGTAAATGTTAAAGTTCAGGTAGGTTTCCCATTGGTGCTCATCACACTGAAGGCGGTACATTTTTACAGTATCTTTTGGTTTGTGCTCACATTAATTTAAGCATCCATGGAGAAACGTTAAACGTTAAAAATGTGTCATATTTTCCAATCAGAACAAATATTAAGTTTATTTGTTCTGCTTTTGTTTTGTATTTTGTGGGCGAGAGTTGCAGGAATCTCACAATTTAAAATGTGTTTTTTAAAATCATTTCATCAACATCAATAAATTTTGAACATAGCCCTTCATTTTTCTTTTGCCATTGGAATTTTTCTAGAAAAACGATATGAAGTAAGGGTTGAATGAATGACGATGAAATTTTTTTTTCTTTAAGATTTTATTTATTTATTTGACGGAGAGAGACACAGCAAGAGAGGGAACACAAGAAGGGGGAGTGGGAGAGGGAGAAGCAGGCTTCCCGAGGATCAGGGAGCCCGATGTGGGACTTGATCCCAGATCCCAGGACTCTGGGATCACGACCTGAATCGAAGGTAGACGCTTAATGACTGAGCCACCCAGGCCCCCGACGATGAAATTTGGATTAGTGTCCTCCTTTTGATTTTTGAATCTCTTCTCAAGTCATTAACATCACAGTCAACAAAAATACCTTTAAGATTAAGTCTGATTTGTCCCTTCAGGAACCTGTCAGTCCTGCTCTTTCAGGTTGCCAGTGCAGAGTTGTGCAAGGCAGTCCAAGCTCTCATCTACCTGGCTTGCCTTTTCCACTTCCTCCTTTCTTCAGGTCTTGGGAGGAAGGAACCAGCTACATTGTGATGCAAACTTGTCATTTCCCCCCGCCCCTTGCCCATCTGGGTTAATGTAGAATTCTCTTTATTTTTGATAATCTCCCTCCCACCTCACTACCACCATTCAGATGAGACTAGGTCATTCATGGGAAAAGAATGGTTAGGATTATTACTGAGCTTTATATTTGTGAAAGGAAGTGGAGTTGGAATACTAATCATAACATTTGAGAGAATTTTCTGTATGTGAGACATTGAGCTAGAGGACCTCAAAAGAGCATGCAGTCTAGTTGGAATGATAGTACAAGCAAGATGCAGAAAGATCAGTATTGATCACGTTGGGGGCTTAAATTTTCTCAGAATAGCATAAAAGAAGAGAACTAGCAGTGAATAGGAAGAAAGAACTTCATGAGGTAGTAAGAACCTATTTGAAAATTACTGACTTAACAGAAAGCAAGCATGTAAATAAAAAATAAAATTTATTGGCCCTAATTTTGGGGGGTGTGTATAGTAAGGGAGGCTCTGCTATTTATCTGCAAATGCTAAAATTGTGTGAAAAAGATGGTATGATTGAATAGCTTAGGGCATGTGGTATAGGGACTGTCTACTGGAGTGTTTATTAATCTGGATTTTGTCATTATAGATTTATATTTTCATTCGACAAATGTTTGTCAGTCATCCGCTTTATGCCAGTTCCTGTTCTAGGCACTGGAGAAACAAGAATGATTAAAATAGACCCTTCCGTCATGAAGCTTAAATTCTGGAGGAAGGCAGACAGTAATAAATACCTACATACATAAAATATTAGATGGTGGCTAGCACCATGATAACGTGGTATAAGTGGGATATGAAATGCTTGAGAGGGTGGAGTGGGGAAGAAAGGCTTAACTGATGAGATGCCATTTGAGCAAGACTTGAAAAGGTGAAAGTAAGGAAAGAATGTTCTAGGCCTAGAGAACAGTGCTGGGGGGGCACGGGGGGCAGGGGGAGCATGCTTGGAATGTTTGAGGAATAATGAGGCACATGTGGCTAGAGTAGAGGAGAAGCATGGAAGAAATGTCGGAGGCACTGGGTCTTGCCCATTGTAAGGATCTTAGATTTTACCTCCGCCAGATGGGCAGCTGTTGAAAGGTTTTGAGCAAAGGAGGAACACCATCTTTAAAAGGAACCCTTTGCAAGGATTTAGAATACACTTAGAGGGAAGACAAGAGTAAAAGAGTCAGGGAGTCTAGTTAGGGGGCTATTTTAATAATCCAGGCTGGAGATGAACTAAGGTGGTAGTGATGAGATAAATGAATATATATTTTGATACATATTCAAAGTATAATGGATTCTGAATACATTTTTGAAGGTAGAAACAACAGGATATGCTGAAGAATAGAATGTGAGGAAAAGAGGAGTCATGTATAACTCAATTATTTTGACTGAGTAGCTTCATGAGACTGTTAAGATTTACTGAGCATATAGATGGATACAGCACTTAAAATGACAGTTTATTTTGTGTTTCAACTATTGTTTACAATTATGGTGAGAGACAACATGGCATAGACCTGCTTTAAATCTTTTCTCTAAGACTTACTACTTTATGGCAAACATGGCAAACAAATTCTGACCTTTGAGAACCTTAGTTTCCTCATGTATAAGGTGAGGATAATAAACTACCTTGTGAGGATTAAATGAAATGGTTTAAAATACCTCACAGAGGCTGGCATGTAACACAAAATAGGTGCTGAATGAATAAATGGTAGCAAATACATGATGTAAAATTTGCATTCTTTCTTATATCCTTGTGTCCAGAGCAAAGCATAATCTTTAGTTGTGAACTCTTTTAAGGCTCTAGCCTGGACCAGGCAATCTAATATTCCAGGTCTGATGGTGACCCTACGGGACACTTCATAGGAGTGAATTGTCAGCCTCACAACACTGATTATATACTTCACATGTATTTGCTTTCCTTATAACTCCGTATGTGTCTGTTATCTTGGAATTTGTGTAAATTTTTTTGAGTGTGTTTTTCTTTTTTTTAAAGATTTTATTTATTTGAGAGAGAGAGAGAGAGAGAGAGCATGAGAGGGGGGAGGGTCAGAGGGAGAAGCAGACTCCCCGCCGAGCAGG